CTGCTCCCCTTATTGAAAAGGAGGTGGACTTGGAGCCCACACCACCTCAGACACCTCCTGAGGAATTGGAGCTCCTTAAACCAGTGGCATACGCTGCACCGAAGATGACAGCTGTTCATCCAGCTCCCTCACCACAGACAGACCAGATGTCAGACCAGATGGTTGAACCTGTTGTCGAAGAGTCTTCCAGCTCTTCTTCCTCGCCTCCTACCCTCCCGCAGGGTTCTCTCGATGCCTCTCTATCTTCCTCCGTCACTTCCCACTCGATCGAAAAGTCTTCAGTGGTCACGAGCTCGTCTTCAACCCTGCGAAACGTGTCGGACACGGAGTCGGATGCCCTTTCAAAACATACCGTATTCGCCAACTCCTCTCAATCGAGTATTGCTGACGAGATCCCCGACCCCGTCGACGATAATGCTCCCAAACCGGAAGCGGAAACAGAAGAAGATGCTCCAGTTCTAGCTAACGAAACTGCTGCTGCCGCTGCTGCTGCTCCAGCCCCAGGTACCGAGCCGGAATCTGACCTGGGCTCGGACACTCCTACACCCCGAAGCACGACCGATGAGCATTCAGAACTGAAAGTCGAAGAGGCACCCGTCACTGTACCTTCGCCAATCATCCAGATCGACGATAAAGAGGTCTCCGATAACACACCTGAGACTACTGAAGAGTTCAACACGGACAAGGATGCTGATACGGCAGTGGCCAGCCAGAAGGAAAAGCGAATTGCAATGCTTGACCCCATTCAAATCCCATTCAATGCCAGTAATGCTGAGGAGGATATCCTCCTTTCGGATGATTCTTTCATGGATGAACTGGGTAGTGCAACACTACAGGAGGCTCGACCAATCACTATTCCTCGCACGCCTACAAGTAGCAGTGGGAAGGGTCCCTCCTCCGCCGAGCGTTGGAACGGTCCTCGCATGGTCTCCAGTTCCTCCATCAGATCGGATATCGAGGCCCTTCCAGTCGGCGTTGCTTCCTCCAGAGCTTTCTTCGAGTCAGAAAAGTCAGCCCCCGTCCTCGTTGCTAAAAAGGTAAATGTTTCCTCGGGCATCTCGAAACGCATCAAGGCCCTGGAGATGTTTTCGAGCCGTGAAGCTGGCGCGATACCAGACAAGGCTTCAAGCCGACCTGAACCACAAAAGTCTGCCTCTCCTTCTGCCTTCGAAAAATTCCGAAAGCGTACTTCTATATCTCAGTCTCCGGGATCCCTCTCCCCTTCTCCTAGCAATTTGGCTCTACCACAAGCTGCAGAGGCTGCATCGGGGAAGAACGGCGATTCCAAGTCTTCCAACCGACCAAAGTCCAAATCGGTTTCTGTCACTGCCAGAATCGTACGGGGTGCCTCAGCCAGTGCATCCGACAATCCATCAGACTCGGAGCCAAACTCCCTGAATCTGCACCGGAGCGAGATCACAGTCGAGCAAAATGGTGAGAAGTCAGCTCAAGCTTCCAACCTGAGTATCAGAAGCCCCGAAAAACGTCGTTCGATTTGTTCGAGTGGTGCAGGCTCTAAGCGAAACTCATTTACTGGGCCAAAGTCCCCTTCTATCGATACTACAAACAACAAAACCCCTAACACTCGACCGATGCTCGACTCCGTACACTCTCCTTCCCCAAGTGACACAGCACACGGCAACGCCGAGAGCGTAGACGAGACAAAGGAAGACAAAAAGGGGTCCCGCAAGTCACGAATCATTCGCCGCATGTCCTCCATTACAACGAACCCCTTACGGAAATCGACAGCCAAAGATCAAAAGGGCCCAGCTCCCCCTCAAACACCAATGATAGAAGAATCTACAGCCAGTAACAGCACACCAATCCATGTCGTCGACGTCGGTGAAGTCAATGTTCAATTCCCTGACACCCTCTTGTGGAAGCGTAGATTTATGCGAGTTGACGAAAGCGGGTATTTGATTCTCACTCCCGGAACAATCGATGGGAACCCTCGAAACACCGTGAAGCGCTACCACCTTTCTGAATTCCGAAGACCGTATGTGCCTGATCATGATAGACAGGAGCTGCCTAATAGCATTCTCCTTGATTTCTGTGATGGGAATACACTTCAATGCGCCTGTGAATCAAAGCAAGGACAGAGTCTAACTCTCCAGAGTAAGTCAATCAAATCAACCCCCCTCAGTCAAAACATTCAACTTGAGCGTTCCTTTACTGACCAATATTAACAGCCTTGATCGATGCTCACCACGCTTATACCCAATAATCGCCCTCAAAAGACCAGCCTCGCCTTCCTCTCCTTAATACCCCCGCTTCAAAATTGCGTTTGTTCCGCATATTCCTTTCGTTGCGATATTTCCCTTGCGTTCCTAGTTTACTACCTTCTCCTTGATCTAAAGTACACCCCGCAGGTGATTAATTCCGATAATTTGCGACCCCGTCCATTTCATGAGTTATACGATATTATGATATCCTGTTCTGGTGGCTCCACAACAACCCAACTCATACCTCCTCCCCGACCCCCTGACCGTCGTTGATAGCTTTCTTTCCTTGTCCTCTCCGGCCTCCTTGTGCGTCTGTATACACCTTTGGTCTATCACCACTAAACCCTTGGGGAACAAATACCGTTGACCCAAATAAGATATTTATTTTTGGAAGAATCCCAGGTGAAGCAAACATTCCTCCAGGACTCAAGCCTCTGCGCCATATTTCCCTTCATTTACTCTTTATTTCCACCCGATCTCTCCACACGCACCCTCATTTCGCCATTTATTCCTTCAGTTTATCACATTTATCTACTTGCCTCACATACTACCTATTTTCAATATCCCAATTGATTCTCCTTGAAAGTTGTGTGCCCTCTCTGCCCCATCCGCATCCACCGGACAAAAAAAAACCAAAACAAA